TCACAATCTAAAATGCTTTTAGGGACTTACAACCTAAAACGCTTTAAAGATTGCATAGTGCAATCAAAGACTAACATAAGAATTATTACGGGTTTACTGACCGGTCACTGCAGATTGAATAATCACCTATCGAAGTTAGGAATTCAATCCAACTCAGACTGCAGATACTGCAGGGAAGAGAGAGAAACGGCATACCATGTGCTTGGGGAGTGCCCGGCACTGATGCATAAACGAAAGAAACACCTAGGAGGGTATTTCATGGATCATAAGGATTCAAGACTGGAGAAGATAGGATCCATACTGTCTTTCATTAAAGAAATCGGACTTGGAGAAATACTCTAACCCGACAAAGGGGCACAATAGATCTTTTAGGTCGCAGTGCACGATCCCTTACTCAATAATAATAATAATAATAATAGCCACAGGGCGTATCTCTCATATTTATAGCCGCTGGGTACATCTCTAGCGCAATTATTTACTTTGGATTCGATAAGCCGCTGGACACAACGGGTTACCTTACATATAATAATCGCATACAATCTGAAAAGCACAGAATTGCAAGAAAATTGGAAGCTTCGCAATCCATAGTGAAAAACTTTTCCATCAACATAAGAAAAACTGCGAAAAGCACGCAAACAAAAGGTTTCTTCACCGCAAAAATGAATGTCTTAGAAAGTTACTGGACGCAGTACAAAGAAGCTTGAGAAAATTTGTTGGTCTATATTTATGACGGTGTAAAGGATGAAGAAGCGAGTGGCTCAATGGTAGCGTTAGTCAGCGAAGACAGTTACATGGATATTGTTTGGACTTCAAGAGTTTTTGAAACCACTAACGACAACAAAACTAGGAACAAAACGAATTTTTTAAAGAAAGACCGAATCGTTTGAACTTTTACAAGAGACTAATTTTATTTTTAATTTCATAGTATTTTATAATATAAAAGGGTTGCCAACTGCAACCAAAAAATAAATAAAAGAAAATATTCCAAATTAATAATAAATTTTAATAGAAAAATATAAAGCCAATCACGAACATTCTCCCCCCATTGGAACGGTCGCGTTCCAAGAGAGATCATTTAATGGCAAGATACAGAGCTTCGTGACAGTGCGTCTAAAAACACCATGTTTTGTGCGCACTACCGTTACACGAATGACACCATCAGGACCAGATATGACTTCAATAACTCTACCGAGCGGCCAGCGAAATGGTGGGAGATTGTCATCCTTTAAAAGAACTATTGCACCAAGTGATATATTTGGAGTCGGCCTTCGCCATTTTGATCGCTCTTGTAGCTGTGTAAGATATTCGGTACTCCAGCGTTTCCAAAAATTTTGTTGAATATATGAAATGCGCTGCCAGCGATCAAGCGATCAAGTCAGGCTCAATGATTGATGTTAACGGGACACCGATTAGAAAGTGAGCAGGTGTGAGAACATCAAGATCTTCCGGACATTCTGAAAGCGGGCAGAGTGGACGAGAGTTGATAATAGCAGCAATTTGGAAAACCAAAGTGCGTAGTTCATCGAATTCTAAAACTGCTAAGCCAACCGCTCGACAAAAGTGATATTTGACTGTTTTTACGGCAGCTTCCCAGAGGCCGCCGAAATGTGGCGATCCAGGAGGTATGAATTTCCATTCGATGCTGTCACTGAGACATTGATGGTGAAGCAACTCATGATGTTTTTGAGTAAAGAAAAGTCTCCTGAGCTCAGTAAGCTGATTTTTGGCACCGCAAAAATTTGTAGCATTATCTGACCAGATGATTTTTGGTTTGCCACGAGTTGAAATAAAACGCTGTAATGCGGCTAGAAATGCTGATGTTGTTAAATCCTTGACCAATTCTAAATGGACACCTTTGGTCGCGAAACAAATGATTAAACAAACATAGCATTTGATTGGAGACTTATTGCGAACTTCGGACTTGTAATAAAAAGGACTACAAAAGTCTGTGCCAGTAATGATGAAAGCACGATTAGCATGAACACGATCTTTTGGTAATTGTCCCATGATATGCCTTGCAGTTATTGGTTTCGCTCGGAAACATATAATACATTGGTTGATGACCTTGGATACTAGCTTTCTACCTCCTATTGGCCAATATTGAAGACGCATTGAAGCAAGCAATGATTGTGGACCTGCATGCATTTTGCGATGAAAATGATTTATGATTGAAACAGTGAGCGGATGATGCTTAGGTAGTATAATTGGATGTTGTGCATTAAAGTATTTAATCGAAATGTCATTTGTTTTTACAGTTGAAATAAGAACTGCCTTGCGTTTTTCAGGCAAATCATACAGCAGGGGATAAGTCATAGGCCAATTGTTTCGATCTCCAAGCAAGAATGGAGGTCCACATTGCCAAAGTGATGAAGTTAAAAGTTCGTCTGGAGTCGCTCCCTTAGATAGGATGTCTGCGGGATTTAAATCAGTGGGAACATGATGCCATGTCATCCCTTTAGTCAAATGTTGAATTTTGCTCACTCGATTGGCCACGAATACATTGAAGGTAGACGGTTCAGATCGGATCCAGGATAACACTATAGATGAGTCAGACCAACAGTGAATTTCAGCGTTAAATATATTGAGACTTGAAATTTGGTGAATTAGTTGAGCTAATAAAGCTGCGGCACATAAATCTAATTTTGGTACTGTTAATGTTTTTAATGGTGCTACTCGAGACTTTGAACAAAGCAAATTGGCAGACGCAGAACTTCCGTGCTTCGAAACAACATAGATGCAAACGCCATATGCGTTCAAACTAGCATCACAAAAGGCATGTAATTCGAGTGATGCATGAGAGATTGAAACACAACGAGGAAATTCTAGTCTTTGAATTATATGGAGACGATTGTAGAGGTCAGTCCATGCAGTGTGGAGTTGGTTCGGAAGGCTTTCGTCCCAGTCGAGTGTGTGTTTCCATAAACACTGTAAAAATATTTTTGCCTTTGATATCAAGGGACCAACAAGACCAAGCGGGTCATAAAGTCGGGCAATAACAGAAAGCACAGAGCGCTTTGTAGTACGCCTTGAATGTTGATGTGGTGCAAAGGTAAATAAAAATTTATCATTGGTTGGATCCCACAGCAGCCCAAGAGTTTTTGTGAATTCGCTGCCGTCATCGAAATTAAACAATGGCTCTCTATCGTCTTCTGGAATATCATCAAGTGCAGATAATTGATTTGAACACCATTTCCTTAGTTTGAAATTCCCTTTATTGAGCAATGCAGTGGTTTGTCTCACAATGTCTTGAACATCATCAATGCAATTGCCACCGGAGATTAAGTCATCAACATAAAAATCTCGAAGAGTAATTTTGGAACCAATAGGAAAGTTTAATGATTCATCAACTGCTAATTGCTGCATAGCACGGACTGCCAGGAATGCTGCTGGCTTTGTGCCATAAGTCACCGTAACAAGCTTAAATACTTTCAATGGTTCTTGCATGTCATTTCTCCAAAGTATACACTGTAAAAAGTTATCCGGGCGTGTGACTCGAACAGCACGATACATTTTGCAAATATCCGCAGTTACTGCAATAGGAAAAGATCAAAAACGAATGAGTAAGTCAATGAGATTTGGTTGAATTGTAGGACCCGACATTAATATATCATTTAAAGAGTATCCCGTGGAAGTGACTGCTGACCCATCAAATACAACACGGAGTTTTGTGGATGAACTTGATTCTTTGATGACGCAATGATGTGGCAAAAAATACTTGGGACTAGTTAATTCTTCATCAGTTAATGGTGACATGTGATTAAGCTGCAGATACTCTTTCATAAATGCACTATATTGTGTCTTTAGATCAGTGTTTCGTTGTAGTTTGCGTTCCAGATTATAAAAACGACGTGCAGCTTGTTGATATGAGTCACCAAGTAGCTGAATATTTAATTTCAATGGTAAGCGAACTGAGTACTCACCAGTTACCAATCGAGAAAAGTGTGCTTGGAAATGGGCTTGACAATCTAAATGCTCTTTCGTAATTTTGATTACAGGATCAAAACAACTTTCTAGCTCCCAAAATTTTCTTACTTGTTGATC